TTTCAAAAATGATTTGTATAGATACTTATAACTATAAAAAACCTTTGTTGATAGTTTTTTTTTATTTCTTAATATAGAAATGAAAATTTTTAATAATAAGGGATATTTGAATTATATTTTTACAAATAATTTAGAAACCTATCTTTAGTTATGGCTACAGGTGATAAGAATAGTTATGCTATATTATATTAATGATATATCTTGAGAATTGATAATAATAGATGACTGAAGTAACTGAAATTGGTTTCTATAATAATATTATATAAATTTTGACAGTAAGCAGCCATAAGATTGTCAAACCTGAACTTAGCAGATAGATGAATTTTAAACTGGTGACAAGATTTTCCACTTTTGAATTTATTCTACCTGATATATGGGCTTACTTATAAAGTATTAAAAGTTCATATATATAGTTGGATTAATAAAAAGGTGAATTGTAAGCTATTATTAAAAATAATCAATAGACAGTATTAATTCTATATGTAATTATATGTAAGAAATGGTTGATGTTTATCTAGATAAAAATTTCTATCAATAAAAATCTGTATTTATATATATTTACCTTAAAAAAATAAATAAATAAATAAAAAAATAATAATAATAATAATAACAAAAATTTTTTTAAAATATTATTTTTATTTTAAAATTAATTTATAATTGCTTAATATATTATTTAAAAAAATTTTTTTCAATACTAAGCTTATTGCAATTGCATATAGATATTGTTTTCAAAAAAAATTTTTTTTTAATAAAATGTTAATATTACTATTAAGGGAAAATGATTGATGTCGTGTAACTATCAAACCAATGATTGGCCGAGGTTAACATTATAATTTAGTGGTAATTCAATTAATACAAATAAGTATTCTTTTTTTCGACATTTCACAAAAGGGTCAGGTTTCGAATCAGGAATTGATTGAGAGAATTCATTGATCTATTGTTTTGTTTTCTAAATATGTATCACATTAGAACTTATTTACAGTATGAATGATGTTTATCATCCAAGATTTTTAATAACGCCGCATGTGACGAATTAGACATTTTTACAATGTCATAGAATTGCTCTTACTTATTTAAGATACTTTTAATTAAAACTCTGTTAAGTTATAAAGTTATTACGGATATGCCATTTTGGCAAAAAAAAAAAATTTGAAGCCAATATTAATTACCATAAACAACAACTAGAGAAATGATAATTTTTGTGGTGATAAAAAGTTCGCTCCTGAATATCCTTTCTTTGTAGAATGCAATAAGCTTGTGAAGTAGTACGAGGAATGGTTGAACTGAAGGGTGCACAAATGTTATTGACGAAACCTGTTTACACTGGATGGAAGTAACTTCACATAATTCGAGCGTTCAATTGTATTGGTTTTTAGCGATCAAAGATCTGCGAACGGTTGATTATAAAATATCTTTGAAACCACTATTGTTAATGAGATCCACGTTAGCAATCGAAAAGTTTGCAGGCAATTGTCTTGAGAAATTCGTAAAAACTCGCTATGGAAGTAGTCGAAGAAAAGTAATTAATTATCTTCCGAATTTTCGGTTTCTTCTTTTGACCGGTATCTGACCTATTCATAACATTGAATTAATTACAGACGTTCCTGGTTGCATCAATTACGTGAAGGCTTAGAAAAGGTGGTGGACATGATCGTACCAGATAATGTTCAACTTGACGAAAGAGTGATCAAGGCCTTCAAGGACTTGGATGATGTCATCGAGCAGAAATTGAAAGACACAACTCTCTATCCCGAACTTGAGTGGGACGCGGTCGTGCGGTAATTTCCCTGAAGTTAAAAAGTAACTTTTTTTGTATTTGTGGTAATTTGCTAAATTAATTTAACTGTTAACAGCAAATCTAATGATCTGTGCGAAGAAGAAGTCAAATTTGTTCGTGACAGGAAGGTTGTTATCCGTGAAGCGTTTGCGAAGTATGTAGGTGTCGATGTTAGCGAGATCCACGTTGACGACATCCCGGAAATTACGTTTATGGGAAGCGGCGGTGGATTTAGAGCCATGATCGCAGTGACAGGTATGGTAAATGGATTTGACCATAGATATGGATAACTTCAACTTAAAAAGGTGTTTACATTTTTCTCAACCACATTTTCAGCTTACTTCTCCTGCTTAAAAGAAGCTGGGCTTTACGATTGCGGTGTATACATCACAGGTGAGAGAATCCTGTTCAATTATCAACAATTTCTTCGTGTTAACTTGAAGAATTAATTCAGGACTCAGCGGCAGTTGCTGGAATTTGGCACAACTCTATACCTCGGTTGCACAATCGCATGAAGATCCACTTCAAGCTCTCATTGAATTTTACCGAACAAAACTCGACTACAGTCTTGCCAGTGGACACGGTGTTCTCAAAAGCCTCGCTCACAATGTCTCTCCACAATCAGCCGTTGAACTAACGTTCGGTGGTTTGCTACAGAAAAAAAGTACTGGGATCAAACTAAAGGTCATGGACCTTTATGGCGCATTGTTAGCCGTGAAACTCTTGCTGGCTTCGGATCCATCAAAACAACATAGCGACTTTAAACTAAGCGAGCAGAGAAAGTACTTGGAAGGTGGAAAGAATTTGATGCCTCTTTACGTCGCGTAAGCTTTGACGTTTCCATTTTTAATATATCTTAAGGAATCGAAAAATAATTATGTTTCGTGAATTAGAGTTGAACAAATTCGCCCATGGAAGGAATCTCTTGAACCAGAAGACGCAGCATTGATTCCAAACTACGAACAAGTTTTGAAAGAACATAAAAAGAAACCGGATCATTATCGATGGTACGAGTTTAATCCTTATGAAGTTGGGTGCGAAGAAGCTGCCGGTTCGTTAAAGATCACATTAAAGAAATCCTTTTGATATTACCATTTCGACACACTTTTACTGACAAGATAAAATTATCAATTCCTAAAATAGCCTGGATTCCCGCTTGGGCATTCGGTCGAAAATTTGAGTTCGGGAAGAACATTGAACGTTATCCCGAACAAAACCTTGGATTATTGATAGGGTTAGTGACAATAATTCCAATTGACATTCGATTATTTCTCTTTTCCGGTTTAATCAATCTTCACGCTACAGTTTGATAGGAGCGGCGCCGTCCGCGCCGCTTATCTCGGACATTACGCAATTCCTGCTACTTCTTCCTGAAGGAAAATTCAAAACGGAATTTAAGAAGACGTATGACGAGGTGTGTGTGATGAGCGAACATTATCAATTCGTATAGACCTTGTTGTTCTAATTGAATTCTTTCATAAGGCTATGGAAAAAATAGGACCCTATAAGAAACAAGAATTCGAAGGCATGCATCCTGTATCACAACCAAAGAACTATAATTTCACATACCACCTCAATCCACCACCATATGAACTTGGCCCCACTAACAATAAAAACATCGGCCTAATGGATTCCGGCGTATCCAATGATTTTCCGATGTACCCAATAACTCATCCAAACCGAAAAATCGATGTCGTAATTGGATTTGATTGCTCAAGTGTAATTATTGATCATAAAATTTTCGATGCCGAACAAGATTTCTTTTGCAATCGACGAGGAATCAAACGCGTTACTCGTGACATCAGCAATAAATACTGTGAAATTTATGATTACATTCCAACCGGTAAAACCGACGATGAATATTTACCAGCTGCCAAAAAACAATTCGTGTTATGCTATATGCAATATCTGCCAAATGACAAGGTTGACCCGACTTTTATACCAAGCAAAGCAAAATTTGCGGCATTTAATAATTTCGTTTACACTCCTGAGCAAATTGATCTGATGGTCAGGCTGGCGAAACAGAACTGGGAAGAGGGGAAAGAAAAAGTCAAGGAGGTTATAATTGAAACCTGGAAAAAGAAGAGGGAGGCAAGATTGAATGGAACCGTCTTTCCGTAATAATTTTAAAACAGGGTTATTCATCAAATTGTATCATGTTTTTGTTCACAGTATATTTTATTTATAAATAAAGTATTAAGTATCCCATCTTTGCATTAGCGTTTTATCCAAACTTAACCTGTATATTTGATACTTTAACGGTGAAGAAGCATTGTACCAAATAAAACTGAGGTGACCAATTAAAATAAATAGGTCTTCTTCACTCATTTCGAAAAAAATTGATTTTAATCCCTCTCGTGTCGATAAATAAGGTTTTTGGATATTTCAGGTGAAGATCGCAACAAAATCCTTGCTACTGCTAAATAAATAATAATATCATATTAAATAATTTAAACACAAAGTACGCGATTTTTTTGTTTTCTTTTTTCTCAATAAACCGTAGGACTGCTTTTACGCTTCTCGTTCCACCAAGATATCATTGGTAGGAAATACCGGTTCTTTCTTGGATATTATATATACTTTATCATCATTCTTTATAATACAGTCATTTTGTGGATTTATGCAAATATATCTCATCCGCTCTTTCTTGTGAATCACGTTTCTGTAGAGTCCTAACGGAACTGCTTTGTGATGACGAACCAGGTAAGAGTAAAGGAATCTATAATTCCTACCTTTTATATTAGTTGAAGAAGGTAAGTTATACGAAGAAGAGGGAGAGGACGTGCAATTGACCGTAGAAAATTCTTACCAACACATAGCCGAGGAACATCGACTTGGAATATGTGACCGGAAGTGATTTCCGAGGAATCTCGATCTCGTATATCAATTTTTGGTGACAGTTTCTGATCTTCCGCGTCATGGGTGAATGTAAGACGTTTCAGAAGCGATGGAATGTATTTATTGTAATAACTGTAATTTAAGGAAGTAAGAATAAAAAATAAAAACATCGAGATTTCGCGTCATGAATTTCGAGATGATATGCTCACCATTGACAAAGGATGGTGTCTAAGCTGGATGAGGTGAATACATTT